TGTGGACCGAAGTTCGCATTGAAAGGAATCGTAGTCACTGCTATGACTTGGACGGTAACCGCCGCAGATGGAAAATGGATGACGCTTGCTTGAAATTATCTGAGCATAAACGAAGCCTTTCAATATAATTTCATCTCATCGGGTAAAGACGGCAATCCTCGAAACATGGGCCACTAGAATAACAACAGTATGTTCTACATTTTTGGCAACCGCTTCACTGCAAGCAGCGCATTTCACAAGGTTTAATGACTAAATGAAATGATAATTTTGTATTACAAACTGTGTGATTAGATTGTAAAACTTAATCGTAACGTGGACCGCGATTCACATTAAAGTGATCCTTTGGTCGCTGTAGACCAAAACGTAGCAAAAGGGTGATACGCGCCAGAAAACTCCGCAAAGTCACGACGCGTTTTGATGTCATTTTATCTCAGCAAGTGTAACAGAAATAACCAAACTAGAGGCGATTGTAATAGTAGCCAAAATCTCCAACGGTTAAGCTACCAAGTCACGGTGGGCAACGCTTTTCATAACGGTTATTGAATAATTGTAGGCTCAATACTGTAGTAAACTTCACGTGATTAATGTGCAAAGCGCAATCTCAATTCGGGTTGCCATTTACATTGTAGTGAACGTTTGTCACTGCGGTCACTAGCTCCGTAGCCGAAGCAGGCAGCAATCGGGTGATGTCCGCCAAAAGCACAGCAGAACCACGATGGCTTGCAATGACATTTCATCTCATCAAGTAGAGATAGGCCTGGAAAACGCCAAAATTGGAATAGTAGCCGAAACCTCTATCCGTTTGGCTACCGGCTCACGGCGGGTAACGCTTGTCACAACGGTGAATGGATAATTCAAAGAGCTATTGGATTGCATGTTGTGTGATTACATTTCGGCGGTGCACATTGCTGATAACCTGGGTAACTGGGCTCAAAGGTGTGGCAACCGAAGCAGAGGAACATTGCTTACTGTGAGCTAGAAAACGCTGCACAAACGAGACACGTTTCGATGACATTTCAACTCCACTGATCGATAGAGCATGCTTTGAACCCGCAACCATTGGAGTAGTATCCGATAACTCTAACGTTTTGGCTACCAGGTCAAGGCGGGAAACGCACGTAACAATGGTAATCGACTAAAAAGTTGGTCAGTTGTGGATTACAATTTGGGTGGTTGGATTGCAAGGCGAAAGCTCAATGTGGACCACATTTCCTATTGAACTGAACCTTGGTCACTGCCATCACTTGGACCGCAGCTGAAAGAAAGGGAAACAGGACGTAGCCTGCGAGTAAACACCGCACAACCACGACGCGTTATATTCCATTACAGATAATTAGGTGGAGATGGCGGGTCTAGAACCCGCGACCAAAGCACCAATAAAAGAAACCTCTAAACGTTGTTAAAAAGTAGAGGCGGAAAAGGATTGTCACAAAAGTGAATAAATATTTGCAGAGTCAGTATTGGATTGCACGTTATGTGAGTAGATTGTGACCAGGAGACTCAAGGTGGACTGCGATTCACATTGAACGTTTGTCACTGCGAGCACGAGAACCGTAGCCGAAGCTGATGGAAAATGGTGGTCGCCCAACCGAAAGCACTCCAAAACCTCTGCTGGATTTGATGTCATGTAATTTCATCAGGTAAAGATAGGAGGCCTCGAATCCGCGACAACGGGAATAAGTGTCAAAATCTCTGCCCGTTTGGCTACCGTGTCATGGGTGTCAACGCTTGTCTAAATGGGGTCACAATAGGCTCACTTTAAATAAACGTTGTGCGGCTGGACTGCGACGCGCAATAGCAATGTGGACTGCGATTCACATTGAAATGGTCCTTGATCACTGCGATCACTAACACCGTTAGCGAAGCGGAAGAAAATTGGGTATTTTTCGCCAGAAAACACTGAACTCCAAGTCGCGTTTCAATGTCATTTCATCTCGTCAGGTGGAGACAGTAAGCCTGGAACCCGCGACTATTGGAATAGTATCCAAAACCATTGTCCGTTTGGCCACCGGGTCACGGTGCGCTATGCTTTCTCTACGGTGTATGGCTAATTAAGTGGTCATTTCTGGATTGGACTTCTGGATTGGATTGTCACTGGCATCCTCAATGTGGACCGCGATTCGCTTTGAAATGAACTTTGATCACTGCTATCACCAGGACCGTAGCCGAAACAAATCTAAATAGGGTATTGCCCGAAAGAAAATTCTGTGGGGGGAATTTTTGCTATCGAATAGAGGAAGTTATCAAATGGACTGCAGTAGTTTTGTTTATTTTCAAATCGCCAATTAGCTACAAATAGTAAATCCGAGGTAATTCCCACGAGTACCACGGATAAGCAATGTTAAGGAACAAGGTATTAGTGGATAAGTGCGTCGTCCGACAGACTTGACTAGTGTAGGTGCAGAAACGACCGATTCGGAGAAAGCGTTCCACGACGTGACACAGGCGAACGGAAAATTTGTTTCTAAGGCCATCCAGGCGACATTACTTCTCTACTAGTGTCAAAAGGTGGCCTCTCAAGTTTGTGTTACTACTGAGCTACAGTAACGAGCGGCACACTTGATTTGGTTTGGATAAAATCAAGCATGCCATTTTCAGGTTACCTGGTAATCCACGATAACGTCCGCTGAACACTCCAAAACGTATCAGCGTATGCTCGTATGATAGATCGCGCATTTCAATGACGTTGTTGGAATTCCGATGTTGAGGTTGGTCCAATGCAGTGAGATCGTACTTCAGTCATGGCTGTCAGATTTGAAATGTTTATTCGACAAGCGGGAGATTATCCGCACTGGGTATCTGTCAGGAAATAGTGACATCTATTTGTCCGAACGCCCAACGCAACAGACCGACTTATCGGTTATCAGTTTTCGATAGCTTTACGGAGTGCTGGGAATAACGCAAGTCATTCTAAACCAGCAAGCCAAGACAGCGTTTGACTGAAAATCGGTGCATTACTTGCGTTCGTAGCCTGTAAGACTAGGTACTCAATTATCAGTGTACTGAAGTATTCCAATACCCGACCCTTACACATCACCATTTGATCTGCAGATGCCAAATGTGATGGAACATATAGGTATGTTGCTTTTGCTGTTCTCACACCGACTACCCTACCGAAATTAATAAGTTTTTGCTCTTACATATTGATTAACTATATTTTATTGCTATGATCTTGAGTAGCACAATGATCTACCTACCCGAATCCCATCTCCAATAAGTGCGTTCAACTCAGACTTGCGGACTTTTTCTCTCGTCCACCGGAGTATTTGTCATTTAGAAGAGCTCCGCCTGTTCATGAGCTGGATAGTGTAACCTCTAGGTATTATGGAAAAATGATATTCCACCCCACTTTGTTCACACTTAGCTATGGCTGCCAAAGTGTAATTGATACACCGACCAAACAAAACTACAAGTTGCTTAACATAGACATAACCTTACAGCACCCAGTATAATCAGCGCTTTATAGACAAACAATACGTCAAACCCGCCAATAGGTTTTGGCTTATTCCGTTTATCATTCAAAAGTATTGCTGTCCTTACTCTACAATGATGAATGTCGGAATTTTTCGGTATACTTCGTTGTATTCAGAGCCAAGCTGCTAAATATGTGCTTGTAGAGGCTGAAAAGGCATTGATCACATGACGTGGTCACCTGCTAACTATAAACATGCAGATCAATCAAAAGTCAGTCAACTGGAAAAGTATCTGTCTTAGCTTGAAACAGTCGACAAATGGATGCAACAGCTTCCCAACACGTAATGAAGCTGCGCGAGACAAAGCGATACTACCAGCAACTTGCATCTATCAAACCGAAGCTCGAGAATTTAAGCTTATCAGATGTATACACGCTTAGTTGGAGTGAGCTTACTTGCACGCAGGTGAACGACGCTGCACCGGAGTCAGAATATCAGTCAGCTTACCGAACTGTTCTTAATTTAAAACCAGCCAAACGAATGCCAACTTGTAATCTGGGTAGCCCAATTGCTGTGTTGAATCAAGATCTCTCAAGACTACCTACATACTCCAACCTAACACCCAGTACTACTACAACAGCAGGAAATTGATCCGGCTAACTTGCCTCACAGCTGAGATACGCAGAAAGCAATACAGTCATCAATCATCCTGTTTTTGCATAATTTGCACTTCATTTCTAACAGGAAAACTTCACCACTTTCAGGGAATTTTCTAGAGTTACCTTGCTAACTCACAACAGAGGAAGCCTCCCTGGTACAATGAGACTTTTATTAATAGATGTCAAGTTAAAATAAAGAATGCGGAGGGATGTTTCTGCGTGTCACAAACTTGGGGGTCCTCTACCAAAGTGGGTTCAACTTCCACGCTCATGAGCCGTTCCATCCTCTGATGAAATTAGTTGGTTTCTTGTGTTAGGAGGAACCGGGAGCGATAAACTCCGGGAAGACAATTCTGGCTAGCGGAATATCCACACGTACTGTGGATGGCGTGCGGCATTAATTTAGAGGGTAGGTAGCGCAAAACTAGCTGCTAGACTGTTCGGTTTACATGTCCACATTCCAAGGAAGCCGGAAACGCAACTCATGTTTCCGCTGGCAAAAGCCATAATCCCAAAGTAGCAGTACACTATTTCTTAAGGGGGTGAAAACTCAGTTAAGAGAAATCAGTAAAAAACAAGTCTGTTTTTCATCAAGTTCTGCAAATCAAAGCTCTGCACTAGTCCTTGCAACTATCTAAAGAATGTAATAAAAGCAACTGGAAACTGCATTTTGTGGCAGTGAGGCGCCAGTAAATTCTATCTAACTTCGAATTCAACGCTTTGATTGAGGATCTTAATCATTCCAGATTAGAACAGGCATTCGGGTAGTGCCACGGTTAGTGTAAAATCAAGAACAAAACCATAAAATCCAGCCTGATTTTTATCGCTTTGTTGACCACTCTGTCCAACTGAACTATCACGCTGGACTATCGGGTGCTCCCTAGTAGTGAAGTGACTAATGGGAGTTCTGGGCTTGTCACCTGATTCTCCTTTGAATACCACAGGTGCTCGTACGGCGCTGTGTCAAGCCAATGTGACCGGCTATAGGGTCACTGAGCACTCCCTTCTGCAAATGGAGATATCTAACGGAGCGCGGAAGAACAACCTTGCCGGGCACCGGCTTCTCGGTGAACTGCTCCTAAACACCAAGAAGGCGAATGAGCCACCTGGGTGTCAACGGTCCTCAAGCATCGTCCCACTGCCTTGCGGGTCAGGTCTTTAAGAGCAAAGTCTGGGGATGAGGCCCCTTAAGTCAACCATCTTCCTCGGTCTGGGCAACCGGGAAGGTCTTCGCGCACACAGCACATGGGAATTTGCATCTCTTTCTCTGGCTGTTCTTCCTCCTTTCTGTTATTGCTACTCGTATGTTGTGGCACACCGTCAGATGTTTATTACGCAAGTGTTAAATACATATATACTGGTTGGTTCGGCGGAGCTGTGCGCCACCGGGCGCGTCTTCAGGTTACGGATCTGGGAAGGCCCTCCTCGAGAAGGTAACTGAATAAGTGGTTGCTGTTCGCAGGCGAGATGAATAAGCAGTCGCGGACAACCAGTGGCAGCGTCCTAGAGCGTGTGGGTTCTGCGCTAATAACCTACTTCCTCATTAGAGACCACGAGAGCTCGTAAGAAGCTGTATCAAAGGCAATGTTACCCGCAATACGGTCACTTACTATTCTCCTCTGCTAAAATAAGTGAGTATTCAACCCAAGGTGGCTGCAGTACCTCGATGGTCACTGGTTTCTCTAAAGACCTTTGAGCCACGTGGCTGTCAAAGGCCTTCAAACTCTTCGACGAGTACGATGGTCTAGGAAATTTGTCATTGTCTTCGTGTTACTTCACTCGGACTTCTTGGGCTTCTTGTTGCTGTTCGAAATCGTCTTTTCATCATGATGGTAGTCGGTTCCCAAAAGTAGGCTTTATACGTCAATCGTCCCATTTGCTTGCGGGTTAAATCTTTAGACCAAAGGCTCCGGGTAGGTTCCCTTACGTCAACTCTCTTCCTCGGTCTGGGGAACCTATAGGTATCATGCCCACACAACATATAGACTAAAGCTCTGACGACTTCCTATTCTGTCGTTCTAGTCTTTACCAACGCTATCATCGACCGAGGTGCAGGATGATGAACATGATATATCGCGCTCAATCACACCACATTAAGGGTACCTTATTCCACGTTTGTTCAAATTATGCATCAATAGTAATCCACCCTCCGTTTCCGTGTCCACAATATTGTGTCGCCTCGGGTGGGTGTTCTCGCCATACGGATCTGGATTTTGGGCCCAAGCTTGTGCCTTCAAGTAGTACTGGCAAACCTCTATTGGCGGCTCATTCCCAATTCAAGCTGGCAACCTTTAACGTCCGGACGCTGGTGCGGATCGGATCACAAGCAGCCCTTGCTCGCACGCTCAAGACTACTACCAATATTGTCTGCTGCCTCACTGAAACCCGATTACGAGATCTTAGCATGAAGCTACGAATGGTTTCGCCGTCACCGAGTTCCGCGGGCATTTTCACCATGCGCTTATCTGGAGACGTAATCACCAAAGCCGCTAGTCCTGCTGGTGTGGGAATTGCGCTAAACACACGTGCTGAGGCCACGCTACTTACGGGATTCCCGTCAACAGTCGACTCAGTGCTATCCGACTTGAGACTTCAGTGCGACGTTCCAGCTGTGGAGCCAGCAAACTTTGCCTGTTCGCTGAAGCAGCATAAGCACCCAATGACTGCACCCAGAGTCAGTTAAAGAGGAGTTCTACTGTCAACTGTCCAACATTCTCCGAAGAAAGGGCCTACAGACAACGTGCTGCTTTCAGGGGCTTAAACGAGCAGGCCCGTAGGCTCGGAGTTAAATTGCGTTAACTGGGTAGTCAGTATGGCTATGGCGCTCTCAGAACGGATAACAATGATCCTTTACTTCAGCTTTGTGCCGATCGCAGGCTCTTTCTGTTGAGTACTAGCTTTCGGCGATCCTGACGTCAACGCGCGACTTGTAGGCTTCCGTCACCTGGCTAGCCATGGACGCAACTTGATCCCATCGCCATCAGTTATCGTTGGCGGGGCCGCATCCAGGACTGTAAATCATTCTGGAGTACTTACCTCACTTAGGACCAGGCGCTCATGGGTGCTACGGTTACTTTTTGTTTTGGTGGCTCCAAACGGCGTAGCTCAACACGGTTTGTCGTAGCAATACTTTCTGCCCCCTAGCGTTCTCAGCGCGTTTTAGTAACGGCTGGCCTCAAATCTCAAGAGCGCTTCAGGCTGTCAAGTGGAAACTCACTGCGCATACATCCGCGGCACCATGCACAACGATGCGATACTGGTCTGTGGTTTCACTAGTAGTCCTGTCAAGCACTGGATCGCTGCAATATCCCTACTACTTCTCGAAACTCCTCGGGCAATTCCAGCTAGTGTTGCGTATCAGTACCACGCAGGACCGATAACGCTGAACTCAAACAGTTCTTCAGCGTGGATCACCAGGCTTGGTGATAGCAACGAGTCATTGGTATGCAGCAAGTAGCCAGTTCAGAGAACTTCCGAAAGCCTTTCTACCTGATCCAATCTACTGGAGGCAAAAGGCCGAGTATAAGCAAAGTTTTGCACGAAATCAATGGCGAGTGATTCCTCTGCCAACAACGTTGACTTATGCGTTAGACTGAGCCGTTTGAGCAGCAGTTCAACTAGCATGCAGCGCCGATGATCCCTCATTCGGGAATCCGTAGTGCTTCATGGGGTGTAGACGCATCACCACCTTCTTAGGCTGAGTTTGCACATGAGCTTTGCCTCCTAAAGCGCTAAAATGCGTCTGACCTGGACGAATTCCCACCTGCTCTAATCAAACAAGGCCGTGCAGTACTTGTTCGAGAGCTAATGGTCCTCCTCCAACTGGTTTGGACCACTGAAGCAATCCCGTTCAATTGGAGTATCGCAGATGTCGTGCCTCTCTACAAAATAGGTTCCCGGATGGACTGCGCTAACCACAGAGGAATTAGTTTCATCTGCGTTGCCTTTAAATTGCCCGCCGCTCTCCTTTTAAGGAGGCTGAACCTGTTAAGCGAACAAAATATGCGCGAAGAGCAAACAGGGTTCCGCTCCGATTGGGGTTGTATCTATCACGTCTTTTCTCTCCGCCAAATATTCGGGAGTCGTCATATGTTAGATCAACTAACGACCGTTGTCTTCTAAGACATAAGAGCCACGTTTGACTCGTTTGACCGAAAGGCGTTCCTCGGCCGGTAGTGATGGTACATGGCCACCCGTAGTGGGACGCCCAACTGTCCCAAAACGTACAGGGATGTCTTCTGACCATCTAGTGAAGCGGTCGACACATGTCTGTATATATACGGATCCGCGAGAGATACGCAATCCACCAAAGACATACCAGTCCCGACTTCATTTAAGCACCTACGTCGATGTTATGATCTAGCCAACTGCTACCGACGCATCATCCACCGCTGCGCTCAACCCCTGCGACTCCTGACTGACATCCTTAGAGGAAAGGAACACAAGTTTGCTTTCCCAGGCACAGCACACATGACTTTCACCGAGATCAAGGATGCTATCTCCAACATAGACTTTCCTATTCATTCCAAACCTTCGGCTCCCCTTCCTCTGACAACTGACGCTACAGATGTTGCGGTAGGAGCTGTTTGCCAACAACACGTTGGCAGGCAGTGGTAACCGCTTGGTTTCTTCTCCAAAAGCCGGCAAACAACGGAATCCCGCTGCAGAACCTTCGGTAGAGTACTGCTTGCAATCTGCGTAGCTATTTATCACATCCGACACATATTAGAAGGTCGGATTTTCACGGTCTACATGGACCACAAGCCTCATTTTTGTCTTCAACTTATCTTATGACATATATTCACCACGGGAAACTAGACACCTAGATTTTGTCACGCAGTTCACTGCTGACGTACATCATGTCTCAGGTGTCTCCAACCCCTTAGCTGACGCTCCCTCTGGCGTCAACCTCACTCTTCACTATTTGCCTACTGTCGATCCCGCCGCCATGGTACCGGCTCAGACGCAAGACGGAGACCACCAATGCAGCCTGCAGTTCATTTGACTGGATGTGCAACCTGTTCCTCTCCAAACTACGGATGGAACTTTTCTTCGGGACATTTCCACAGGTTGTCCAAGACCTATGGTGCCCGCCTCTTTCAAACGCACAATCTTCGACACATTTCACACACTGTCTAATCCTGGTATTCGATCGTCTTTAAAACTGGTCACCGCGCGTTTCGTTTGGCCAAGCGTAAAAAGATGTTAGTAA